CCCGCTCATTGGGCCTTTCGAACGCAGCGGGCGGGAGGTGGCCAATGGCGAGGCGCGGGGCGGGGCGGGGCTGGGCGTGGGACGCTGGTTGCCCCGGGGAGTCCGACCCTGGGGCTGCTGCGTGTGAGTACCTCGGCCCGGCCGGCCGGCCCCGCGGGGCAGTGCGTTGGGAGCGGTGCTTTTGCCTGCGCGGGGCCGCGGTGGGGGGCAAGCCCGCGGGCACCTCGCCCGGCTCGCGCTGCACGGAGCTCCCTGGAGCGCTGCAGGCAGCCAGCCCAGCGGCGGGGGCTTGGGACAGGTCCTGTCAGCGCTCCCGAGACGCGTCTTCCCAGCCCGTGGGAACACGCGTGATCTTCAGGGGTCCTTAGGACCCCCACAGAGCATGGAGAAGTCAGGCTGGGAAGGGACTGATGCAACCCGGGACTTGCTATCTTCCTCCGCCTCCGCGTGTTTGATCCGCTTCCAGGAGCCTTGAAGCATTTTGGGGTTGATCCGCAGCCCTTGCCGCCAGTAGAAAACTTCTTTGCTCCTCCTGGCTGCTGAAAACAAGCTGGAAGTGCCATTTGATGGGGGCTCCCAGGGATGAGCCGAGGTGCACTTGTGGGCCGCCTGCCTGTTGTGATCATATTAACATGAAGCACTTGCAAGCTGTGTAAAGAAAAAGGGAAGGGAGGCTATTAATTGGGCCTTGCCCGGGTTGCTTGCATTGCGATAAATGGCACACCTACTTATTTAAAATTAGCTGTTTATACATGGCCTCTGTCCTAAGTAGCTCTCAATCTTCAGTGTGGTCCGGACAAAATTATCACAGGCACTCAAAATTCCCATTTCTCTGATTTTAGTTATTTTTTTGGAGTATTTAAGATATGTGTAACCTTGCATTAACATTTTATATTAGAATGAATGCAGAAGATAATGCAATAGGTGAGGCTGGGCAATGAACAGCTTTTAGTGTATAAACTTTATTAACCTGACCTCATTGCAACTATTGAACTCCACAGTGAGATGACAGCGCAGTGCCATGTAACACTCAACAGATATTTGCACTCCCCACAGGTATCTGAGATCCCAATCCTTTCTTTTCTTTTTTTAAAGCAATATGGTTTGCTCTGATGTCCTTGGCTACAGTTTCCATTCCTGCAGTTTAGTGTGCTGAAAAGATGAGTAGCTCCATTCTCGAGTTGGCTGTGTTTCAAGGATGCTATATCCTTGTAGCATCCTTTGGTATAAAGGCACTCTATAAATTGTCTCCCTAGACCTTAAGGCTTGGGCAGCTTATACATTTTAAATCTTATAAGCGTGGTGTTGGATTTTTATTTACTTATGTCTTTTTAAAATTTGTCATCTTGTCAAATTTTTTAAAACCCGTTCCTTGGTTCCTGACTACAGATAGCCATATAACAGGGTGGTCAGGTTTTTGCCGAGCCAGATGCTTTGCTGACTAATTCTGGGAAGCCTTGGGACCCAGGTGCTGCCTAGCTGAGCAAAAAGTGCATGCTTTTCAACTGTTGGCTCTGAGTTATGTATACATGATTGCAAAACATCATTGCTAGGTGGACTAATATACATGAAGCCTCATCAGCTGTCGGAGCTGTAGTCCTAAGATCCTCCCAGATGTACCAGTTTGCATCAGAGGAGTTGTCTTTGCCTTTCCTGTAGAGATGTTGCTTGCTGAGATAACTGCTTCAGAAGGAAATACTCCTTGATTTAAAAGGCATCCTTTGTCATGATAAGACTTATGTGACTCCAGGCGCTTTCCCTCTGCATTAAAGATGAGGGCAGGTTCACAGTAGAAAGTTGCATGTTTCCTTAGGGATACAGAAAGGGAATTCCTGAGGAGAGGAGCTAATGAAATGACCAGTGATTGCCACCTCACATAGTTTAAGCTTGATTAACTAATCGTGTTTTTTGTTTTTGTTTTTGTTTTTTTTCTCTCTCTGGTATGCATTTGGGGTCCCACCAAGAAAAGCCATTTTAAAAAAATAAGGATAAGTGCTGCTTCATGTGATGTATTTGGCTACAGCAGCTGCATTTACACAGAAGCACTCGGTAGGCTTCACACAGCTTTTGATATACTTAAGGACCCAACATGGAAAAGAGGTGGCACTATGTATAAAGAAGAACTCCTGAGTATATTAAATCAATGCCAGTTGACACCTTGAAACAAAGTTGTATGTTTGTTTAAAAAGGAACATACTGTGTAGAAATGTTGCTACCAGCCACACTGTTAGACCTAATTTGGGGATCGACAGTTGCATATTTTAAATTTTAAATGGGTGGGTTAGCTGGGGCTTTGAGTTGTGTGTACACAGGATGCACTTCAAGCCAGATTACTTTCCTAAGAGATGTCCATTCCTTTTTGGTGTCCCCTACCTTGGATCTATTACCCTGGTCTTTCACTGACTCTGTGCTGAATCTCTACACATAAGACTTGTGTGGATCCTAGCAATAGGTTGCTCCTACCCACATATGTTATGATGACTTGCACTACCTTAGTCTGATGAGACCTCCGTTGTTTGAGGCCCTGGACAGTTGCCTTGCTTGCTTATCTCTAAGTCTGGCAGAGGTGTAACAATACAGCCAGGTGCCTGGGGCAGCTGCCACATGCAGGGCCAGCAGTGACTTATGGTTGCCACCATGCTGAGGGTGTGATCATGTGACAGTAGTAACAGCCACTTTTTTCCTCTTTAACTCATGCCTCCCATCTGAAGTCAGTGCCTGGGACAGCAGTCCTTGTTGCCCTACCATTGTTATGCAACTGAAATCTGGCTCTGCCTCTGTTTTAAGGGCAACTCCTCTCTCTCCAGATGAACTAGTGCTTGCACTGCACCCTGCAATAGAGCAGCTTTCTGGGCCCCTCCAGCAATGGATTAAGGGTGGGCAGCCTTTACTTTTTCTCTGCTCCTCTTGGCTCCATTAGAGGCTCTTCTTATGGGCTGGCAGCAGCAGTAACAGAAGAGCCCGTAGGCACCCCAGAAATGGATGTTGCTGTTGGAGCTCCTACATAAGCAGAGCTTTATGCTGGGGTGGTTGTACTCATTGCCTTTGGGGAAGGCTTCCTGCCACTGCATTCTTCTCTGAGGAAAACTAAGGCAGATGGATAGCCCTCCAGGGCACTGACTCTTAACAGCACCAGGTGACTCATGCAAACAGCCATGGTAGGACTGAAGCAATTTCTGCATGCTTATTCACTGCATCAGTCGTACTTGTTTTTGTTCTGAAGGCCTCCTTTGCAAAAATGGGTACTAAAGAGTCCATATTCTTTAAAATTAATACAGGTTATGCGGAATCTAACATGGCTTTTGTCAGAAGCGTAACAAAGCAGCCAGGCGCTGGGTGCAGCAGGGTGCTTGGAATATTGGCAACTTCCGGCTGCCGCTGTGCTGCTGGGATGATTACGTGGCTGTGGTGGCAGCAGATTATTTTTCTGGCTCCCACCTGTAAATTGGCAGCCATTCTGGTTGCACTGCTTTCTTTAGCCTGTGATAGCTGCCTGCTTGCCCTGGTTGAGTGGTTGTGATAGTCAACACTGAAAATACATGTACTAAAACAGGGATTGGCAACCACTGGCACACGTGCTGGAGCATGGCACACGAGGCCATTTTTCTTGGCCTGCCACAGCCAGCCTGGGCTCTGGGTAGCTGCCACCAGCCATGGAGCCTGGGCTGCTCACAGCAGGTGGTCCGGAGGCTGCCCAGAGCCTGGCCTGGCTGCAGCTGGGAGGTTGCAAACAGCCGCATGGGGCTCCACAGCCCTGGCACCAGATCTGTGGCAGCAGCTGCTGCTTGCACCACCTGTAGGCGCACAGCTGGGAAAGGCGCTGGGACAGTGCAACCCTGGGCCTTCCCCTGCCATCCACCCTGAGGCGCTTGTGCAGCTGATGCTGCTAGTGCCGGGGCTGTCCCGGCTGTACTCTCAAAAAGCATTTTTGCTATAAGTTGCTCATTAACCCTTTTGGTTCTGGCCATCACACCCGGCATAGCTATTTGCAGCCTCCCAGCTGCCTGGCATTGCCTGCTGCAGCTGCTCAGAGTCCAGGCTGGCTGTGGGCAGTCTGTAAATGGCTGTACTGGGCTCTAGAGTCCCAGCACTGGCTCTGTGGTGGAGGCAGGTGCACATGTGCCTCATGGCGTATGGCAGGGAAGGGGCCAGGGCAGTACAACCCTGGCCCCTTTCCTGCTGTCTGCCCGGAGGCACACTTGCACCTGCCTCCAGCAGTGAGGATTGGGCCCCTCATGCCTCCCCTACCTTTGGCATATCAAGTTGATGCACGGGTGGAGGTTGGGGTGTTTTTGGCACTCCGATAAAAAATGTTGCCAACCCCTGCACTAAAACGATTATGCTTTTTTGAATGCTTTGGTGGAACAAATATAGTTTGAGAAAACAGGTATTCATGGAAGCTGGCAATCTTGCAGCAGCAGCCTTCATTTTTACCACCAAACAACCTCTTCCTTTTACTCTTCCTGTCTTGTGTTCCAAAATGCCCCACTGCTCCAGGGGTGATGGGGGCATGTGTTTGAACATAGTTGATCATACTTTTGGTTCCTGGCATGCCCTGTCCAGTTTTGGGCCCTGCATTTCCAAAGAGCAGTAGACAAATTAGATTCCAGTAGAGAGTGACCAAAAAGATTAGAGGCTTGGGAAACATGATTATAAGAGGCTGAAAGAAGTAGGGTTATTTAGTTTGGAGAAGAGAAGGCTGAGCGGAGGATTTGATAATACTATTTAAATATTTTAAGGGGGTTATATGGAGGAGGGAGGTGAACTATTCTCTGTGGCTGCAGGGGTTAAGACGGGAAGGAACAGTCTTAAATTGCAGCTAGGGAAATTTAGGGTGGGAGTTAGGAAGAACTTCTTCACTCTGAGGATGGTTAAGCGCTAGAACAGGCCACCTGGGGAGCTTGTGGAATCTGCATCCTTGGATATTTTTAAGAGCAGCTTAGGTAGACACTTGACTGGCATGGCTTAGTCAAAGATGATCCTGCCTTGAGCAGAGGGTTTGACCTGATGATCTTTTTGAGGTCCCTTCCAAGCCTACTGTTCTATGATCCCTTGATCTCGCAACTTCCATGTCTTACATAAGCTGTGTGAAATAACTGAGATCATGGTGCTTACCTAACAGCTACAGGTTTCACTCATCCTGCCTATACTGGATCAGTTCACCTGAGAAAGAGGTTGATTATTTGTCTTTCATAACTGCTGTCTGTACATCCAGTCCAATAACCTACTCTTATCAGCATGAATGCCAAATCTGTCTGTTGGATCCTTTGTGCATAGCTGACTGTTAAGAACCCTAGATTTAGAATCCTTTTGGGGATACTTCTATATTGTAAAATTTTGTCCCTTCTAAGTATTATCCAGATGTCTTTGTGAGTACAAAGCTTTGACTACTTGGGGACTGAGGCTACAAAATAACTTAATTCAAAGAGTAAGTCTTTGACACTTGAATTTCACAAATTTTCTACAATCTCTGTTTAAAAAAAAAAAAAAAAAAATCAGTTTTGCTAGGCGTTTCCAGAAAGTGCAGATGTAGAACATTCTTGCAATAGCTGCTGTTTGAATATGTCACTTTGTTTGTGATTTGAGCACTCCCTGTGAATTAGGCTGCCTTTTGTTCTTCTTTTGGCAGTTACCATGTTAAGGCTCTTGTTTGATTATGTGGGGCTCCTTATTTTAATGAGGCCAACTTCTCTACAGGCTGTTCCACCCATATTTTTTTTAAGCAGTCAATGAAGCCTCTTACTGTGGCTCTCTGTTGGGACAAAGGATTTCTTATGCTAAAGGAAAATGTATTCCCTAACTCGTGGGAAGCATAACATGCTCATTAGTAATGGCAAGTATGGAGTGTGCTCTTCTGTAGTGTATAGAAGGATGAATGACGGAAAGGACGTCCCAATACTTTTGTTTCCCTGCAGATAAAAGTATAAATTAGGGTTGCTCTTGTATATTCCGATAGGAGCAACTGTGCAACTTTTGTGAAGTTTTAATTGAGCAGTGTGAAGAATCCTGGTACAAGGGAAAAACTGTCTCTGAAAACAAACTGGTTGTGCTATAGGTATAACTGCACAGTTTTAAGGTAAGTTTGCTTAAAGTTTGTTGAAAGATGCTGTTTTTGGTGGCATGGGATGTGGTCAGGAAGAAACAAATCAAACTTGTTTTTCCCCCCATGGAAATGGAAGACATCATGGTTAAGGTCCAGTTTTTAGACTCTGGAAGACTTTCTGTTTTTTCCTCTCTCAAAACTTGATGTAAATTTTGATTTTTCACTGTGGGAGATCACACATTCTCACTAGAACTTAACTGGCTGTGCCGTGGTTCTGGAAATCTTTCTTGTTGATTGTCAGTTTGACCATTATTTTTTTAGAAAACCATAAATACTTTATCTAAGAGAGTACAGGATATTAGTGTTAACGTCTTCAGTAGTATTCATTGCATTCAGGATTAAAACTGTAAATACAGCTTCTCTGAAACTTAGACCAGTGGACTACATTGTAGCCTTTAATCAATTACTGTTATGAATGAAAAGATTCTTTTATTCTTTCTAGTCCTTATTTTCAGGTGTCCCACAACCTTTTGATAAATTGCCAGTTCAACTCGAGTTGTCTGCTTTCTGGCCAAGAGGAGGAAACATGTTTCAACCATTTTAGGTGTACAAGTATTGTTCATAAGCCTATGCAGACTTTCATCTTTAGACTACTAGTTTAGCCTAGCAAAACAAAGGCTTAGCAGGCACATGGTTGCTGTCTATAAGTATATCATGAGGGCAAACACAAGGGAGAAGCTAAGCATTGGTGGAAGAATTAATTGAGTATAAACTTGTTATTAATACATTTTGGCTGGAAAATAGCAGACTTCTAACAATTAGATGAGTTGTAGGCTGAAAGCTGCTTAACAGTGCTTATAGTATAGAATTTGCTTGCATATACTTCATCAGACTTTGGGTAAGAGACAAAGAGGAAGAGAAGCTAAGTACGTGAGAGACTGTTGGAGTTGAAAAGAATTTTTGTGAAAAGTCAGCTAAAGGTTGCTTAGAGTTGATTTAGTGGTTTTATACCAGTTGGATAAGGTTTAAGCTGTGATATAAGTTTTATATAAGGGAACAAATAGATTATATCCTGATTAATAGTAATATGCCTGATAAGTATATTGATATATTTCTGTATTGTCTAGCCATATTTAGCAAGCCTTTGACGTTGAGCTAGGTAACTGAGTATAAAAATGTAGTCCTATCTCGGCATCTTTGCTCTTCAACCTGGCAGTTCTTGTTGAGTTGCCCATCTATGGATGAAACAAGGTCAGAGATGGCACAGGACATTTTTAAATCTAGGTTAGAAGTCCTTTCTTCTACCAGGCTAGCCACCTGTTAGAGGCTTTTAAGACTTTAGACCTTAGAAAAAGATTAAATCTTAAACATACTATTTCAAATATTAAACTTTCTGTCAGTGTTGAATATCTGATTATTTGGTTTGTAATGCTGCACCTGTATTGTCTTACCACTCACGGACTATTTTATTCAATAGTAACATTGCTATTAAAAGTCTAGAACAGCTGACTGAAAATATAATATTTTAAAGAAAAGAAATACTTTTTTGGTTTTTTGCAGATATGTGGAATGAGAGAGTATTCCATTAAAAATAACTTAATACTGTTTCTCTTCCTTTCTTTACTTTCAGTGAAAGTCACTAATGTAAATACAGATGACCATGCAGGATGCAGTTCAGGTAATTGACATTGTTAATAACTAATAGTACTTGGCACTTTGCATAAATGAGAAATGCCTTATATAGATCTTAGGGCATTTAGCAGAGAAGTTGCTGTAAGCATCATAGACATCCCACGAGATAGGGAAGTATTACCATCCGTAATTTAGAAATGGGGAACTTAGTCACAGACAGTAGGAGACTTGCCTTAGATCACACAGAGGGTCAATGACAGGACTGATGTAAGCCATAAGTTCTTCATTTCATTTCATGTTTTAACCCGTAGATCGCACAAGGGCGGGCAATTATTTTAGCTGGAGGGCCACTTAATGAGTTTTGGTGAGCCTTCGAGGGCTGCACAGGTAGCCCCGCCCCTTGACAGGTGCCCCAGCCCATGGTTGCCATCTTGGAACGGGAAGTCCTGCCCCCTAACTCCTGACCTTTGCCACTGGGAGTTTATCGCCTTGCCCCCAGCAGTATTCCTTTTGGGAGGGGGGTTGCCATCTTGGGACTGGTAAAAAATCAAATTGTATACTAAAAATCAAACATTTGCTATAACCTATTTAATTTTATTTCAAAAATATTTTTGTCCTGATTTATGTGTTTGCATAGTGTATATAGAGGCGATTTGCATAATAGCTCAAAATAAACTTTTACTCTTGTATATTGTGTGGGGGAGTGTGTGTATGGTGGGGCTTGTAGTGGGATGTGGTTGTGGGGGGTTGTGGATATGGTGGGGGGGGGGGGTGGAGGCC